TCCAGTCTCATAGAGATTTTAGGCCAGGTCCAAACTCTTTTAATTATTCCTGTTTAGCCTCTTTCAAAGGAACTTGCTAGATATGCCTCTTGCTTAATTTCTGAAATGCAGAAGTAAAACCTCAAACTGGGTGAGAAACCTGGACAGTGAGACAATCCACACTCGGCAAAGTTACAAATTCGGTGTTATAGTTCAACTCAATATAAACGTAATTTTCTTGGCTGCCATCTACAAGTTTGATGATAGGAAATTGGATTTGACTCATTCCAATGCAAAGGGGCAGTTTGGTAAATGCACATTTTCAGCCAAAATCATTAGTCAACTAATAGAGTCGAGCTACATTTTCATTGACGTTTACGTTACCGTTTGGTTTACTTGGTTTTACTGTCTGGCACCATCTGTAACAAGCGCAGCCAAGCTCTAATTCTCAACTGTTTGAAGTTATTCCGTCTCATGAAGGATATGCCAGACAATTCATTGGACAATATTCAAAGTATTATTGAGGTTAATTCTAATTGCACACAAAGATCTCTATTAACATTTCTGTTTCAACACATTTTTTTGTTGCTTGGGTTTTAGATCGTATGAATTGGTTTTCTACACGGTTGCATTTCTCTTGTAAGAATGTCTAAATATCAGATATTAAATTTACTATACAGTCAGTTCTTATGCCAAAACTGATATTCCTTTGGTTGCATCGGAATATTTTTGGAAAAATTCTGAGTCCTCAGAAGCTGTGCACGGGTGTCCAGGCGTCGACTGACCACAGACTCGTGCCTGGCTCCCAGCTGAGCAGAGCTTTGCACTCTGGGGAGACATGGCACGTAGTAACTGAAAGAAAGAGATGAAAAGGGAGATGTTGGAGACTAAAGAGCACTACCTCAAAAACCTCTTTTGGGCAAATCCTTCCTATCCAGGAACCACCTTCTGTTTGCTCAAATAAGTTTGAGCTTGTTAGAAATAGAAATTGGAAAAGTCTGTAAAGGGTGAAGAATAACACAGCTGAAGCCTTGCTGCTTGGGATCAGCTGAGTGGAATTCTGAGTGAGCATGATCAATTGAGTGGAAGCCTAACTGGATGTGTTCATGGAGGGGTGCCTTAATATGATTGAGGGGATGTGGGACTGAGCATGATTTATTGAGAGTAATTGAGTATTCTGTACCGGAGTAGGAACAGGAGTCACTTAACTCAGATTAAAATACAACAGCACCTGGTGCTTGCTGCAAATACATTTTTCCTGGAAAAAGAGGTGGTTAGAAATAGCTTTCATTACCCCATTAGAGTGTTTTCTAAATAACACATCTCTGTTATTTTTGAAATATCAGTATGTTGAATGTCCAAACGGTTCTTGCTGAAAATGATGCCTCTGTTAAATTACCAGTGCCCACTCATTTTCCAGCTAGAGGTATCAGGTGCCCAGGGCCCTTTGGAAACCACTAGCAGATGCTTGACCTGCTGGGAAAGACCCCTTGGTCCTGCCCACGGCTCTGGGTGAGGCCCTTTGGCTGCAGTCATTCGTTGCAACTTTCCTGCTCAAGCTCTGTCTGATTTCCTTGTATTTCCTGTGACTAAGTTTTTAGACTCTCTCTGTAGGAGTCTGTTTTATGCCAAGTCATTTTTTATAGTATGATTTATTTTTTTTTTATTTTTTTTGTGTGTCTAGTCTAAGCTTTTCCTTCCCTAGCTCCAGGTCAGTGCTGCTCAGGCTGTTGTCTCCTGCCCTTCCCTCTCCTCATCCTGCTGCTCATTCACATTAACTGCAAGATAATTAGAGACTGATCCTGTCCCCTGAGTCTTTGTTTCTCCAGACTGTGGCTTAAATCCTAAGCCTCCTACAGCAAACCCCACTGAGGTCCTCAGGTTTGGTCCTTTTGGGGCTCCTCTTGCTCTTGTATCTAGTTCTCAGCACAAGGTTCTTTGATATTATAATGTTGTAATGGCAGGAGACCCTGGTTAAGCAAAAACAGAACCGGCCCTCCCTCCTTCCCTCTGGGGGTTGCGGGTTATTAACAAAGCTTTGCTCAGCTGAGCAACGTGGAACCGTCAGGTCTCTGCCCGCATTCCTGTCTTGCAGCTTCGAAATTCTCCTGGTATTTAAAAAAGCAGGAACAAGGCAGCTTATATAGTCCCAGCAGATCCTCATCCTGGCACGGCTGCTCATCTTTTGAAGGTAAAAGCTCACAACATCCTGCTGTCCATCTCTGCTCCCCAAGAGGAACACGTCTGGGAACTAGATTCTCCATGGGGTCAGCTCACAACCCCACTACTGGCTTGGCAAAGCCAGCTCCAAGGGGCAAACACCCCCTTGACACCCCTGCTCCTCAGGGAGTCCTGGCTGTGAGCCTGGACCCCTGCATTCTTCCAGCCTCCACCCCTGCTCTGCGGAGGCTTTTTCGTTCAGCATACCTGTTTTCCTTAAGTTCATTATGCAGCGTTGTATCAGCCGTTTTATTGGAATAGAAATGAATTCTATCATCTGCAAAATCAGTGTCTCGAGTGAAGAAGTCTTTCCGACTTGCTTTTAATAAGCCCCTGTTACTCAGTAGTTGTTAGACCTTGTCCCAGGTGTTTTGCACTGTTTACTCCACTGTGTTGTGTGGAGCTGGTAGCAGATTGAACAGTTGGCAATTTCTTGCTTCTCCCTTTCCTGGTCATTCTGACAAGCAGCAGAGTTCTCACTGCAACCTTCATGTTCTCACTGCAAACCTTCCAAAACTCAAGCTGGACTATTCCCAGTGCTGGGAATCCTGGCAGAGCCTCATGCCCATCCTAAGCTCTCCTTTTTGGTATGTGGACTGCTCTTTAGGTTGCATCGACCAAAAGCACCAGATCTGTGATGCTTCTCAGCCCTGGAGCAGGGATAAGCAGCAGTATCGGAGCCAGATGAAGAGTTTGGTGCCTTAGAACCAGGTCTTGTTGGTTTGGGATCTTTCCATTTGAAGGCCTCTGGCACATTAAGAGCCCTCCCCGGAGTTTTTCATCCTCTTTCAAGCTGCTGCAATAAACTTCTTTTTTCAGTTGGCTCAGCTAGCAGTCTGTGGTGGGTCTCCTGCCTTGTGCACACGTGTGCCCTGGGACCCAGACTGAGCATCCTCCACCGAGCTCCTCTTGCACGTGCTGCAGAGAAGCTGCAGAGAAGCTGCTGGTATCACGCTGCCAAAGTTGAGCTGATCAGGCAGCAGCATCCCAGTGACCAAAAGCTTCATGTCATATATGTCATGAATTCCTGCTCTGCTGGGACTCGGCTCTGTGCAGCACCCAGCGTTTCTCTCCAGGAGCACAAGCTGTGCAGAAAGGCTTGGGAGGGCATTTTCCATTACAGGCAGCACAGCCTTGGCACAGTCCAAGACTTCCATGTCTGCAGCTGTAGCATAACCCAGGGAGGGAATCCAGGAGTCTGCATCTCGCTGAACAACAGCACCACTCACAGCCTGGTCTCGGATGCCAGGCTGGGGCCAGAGCCACAGAGCAGCAGTGTGCCAGCACCGGGGAGGAGGCTGGGACCTGCTTTTTCTGTCTGTCTCAGGATTAATCCACCACAGCTGGGCTCGTCCAGGTCCTGCTCAGTGGCACCCGTGGCCCACACTGGTGATGGTTGTGCTGGGGGTTCAGCTCAGTGGGGTGGCTGTGCCCTGGACAGATTCTGGAGAGTGGAGCAACAATTTGAGCTGCTGCTTAAAAACACCTCCTTGGAACGCTCTTTCCTGCTGCAGCAAAGAAGGTGCTTAACCAACAGGAGCAAACATCACTGCTTGTGTCTTGGTTCACCATTGTCTAGGAGAGTGGCCTGCCAGACAGTTACCTGGGCATCATTTCTGGCATGAACTTGAGATAGGAACTGAGGGTCAGGCTTCAGCCTCTTCCAGACAGTCCCAGTAGCAGAAAGTATCTGAAGAATCCCACAGGCTCACACCCAATTTTCAAGGCCAGCATTTCTCCCAGCATACACAACCCTGCCCAGGAGGCTAGCAGGGTTACATTATCTGGAGTTTGGATCTGGACATGAGGAGGCAGGTGCTGGAGAAGACAGGCAGGCACATGAGCAGTCAAAGGCAAGAGCAAGCGTTTCAGGTCTGCACACTCAGCACATTGTACCCCGTCCAAGCAGAGCTGGGGATGTTGAAGCGAGACAGGGAACAACTGGGGATGTGTTGCTTCTGCCAGGCAGCACCAGGAGTAAGGCAACACCGTGCTCTGAGAGCCAGCAGAGCTGCTTAAGGTGAGATTCAAGGATTGAGAGGAAAATTATAGTGGAAAAAAGCAAAGCATGTTGGGCTGCAGTTCCTGAGGGCTGTGATGAGAGACCCCTTGGCCCCTCATTGTGTTGGCACCGTTGCTGGAGACACACAAGTCTCAAGGGAGCAGCACGAGGGAAGGTGGTGGCTCCTGGAGCAGTGTCCAGACAAGGGGGGAGCACCCTGCACTGGGTGGGGTGTCCTTTGGGGGTGCTGGGTGAGCTGGCGTTGGGGTTAGCACCCTGCTGGGCCTTTGCTTATGTGTGGGTGTGAATCCTCCAGATGGAGTTTCAGCAAAGAGGGAGAGCTGGTACAATCTAAATGGGGGTTTGAGGGTGCCCTGCACTGGGAAGGGGCTCAGGCCACAACTGGGTAAGTGTCTGGTGGTGCCCGCTCTGGGAAGCTCTGCCAACACAAATCTCTTAATAGTCTTTCCGTCTCTGCAAGTCCTTAAAATCAATCAGAGGATTAACTAAGCAAAGCTGCCCAACACAAATCTCTTAATAGTCTTTCCGTCAATCAGAGGATTAACTAAGCAAAGCTGGTTTTATGATACATGATCCAGCTTTGTGCAATTGGATCTAACGGAGGTCTCTCCCGGGGCTGGGAAGTGCCACCACGGGGGTGGGCAGCGCCTGGGGAGGAGCAGGACACCCCGGGGTCCGGGTCCCACCACTCAGGAGGGTGCCAGGGACCAGCAGCCTGGCATTGCCAGTCACTCCCCTCCACTGGTGTCTTCTCTTAATTCAGCATTTCTCCTTGCAGAAGCTCCCTGAAGGGAAGCCACTGAGCCCTTCTCACTGGTGACCAGTGTGGCTTCTGTGGCACCTTCTCCTGAGGAAGAGGAGGATGTTGCGCTTTCCCTTCTCTCCTGTGGCTGTGACTCCCAGGTGAGGCTGCTCGGGGCTGAGCTGAAGCCTGGGAGCAGATATTCCCTTCTCCTGCCAGGTGCAGTGATAAGTCCTGTCCCCAGAGACGTCTTTTGAGAGGTCACCAGGGAGGGAAGTGATGAGTCTCCTTTAAACACACCCTGGCCCCTGGCAGATCAATACTTTAATTGGATTGATGACAACAGGAGTAATCCGCCCAGCTGACACCAGGCAGTGTCTCTGTTTCAAACCCAGGTGTAGGAATGTTTATTTTGGTTTTGCTAAAGCAGTTTGCTTTCTCCCAGGCTCAAAGTGACAACTTGTGGGTGAGAGCTCTGTCGGGTCCCTGAGAGGACTCTGAGTCCCCCCAAACACGCTGGGGCTGCACGGCACGGGCAGGTCTGGAAGTTTCCATTCTACCTGCTAAGCAGTCAGAGTGCCAAAGCGATGTGAGGAATAATGGAATATCCCCTCCAGGACTGAACGGTCTGGGTTTTCTGACAAAATTCTCCTCTGCCCCTTTTTTTCCAGACTTTTTCCTCAGTCTGTGGCCAGGTGGCTCGGTCCAGCGATGCAGAGATCACGGTGCAACGTAACACAAAGTGATACCTGGCTGCCCAGTTATCCCGCTCTCCGGTATCTGCGCTGACTTGGAGCCTCGCAGCTTCAGGCCTGTCAGCCAACAGGAGCTCGTCTATGCAAATGTGCTACAAGAAAATGAGGTCTATAAATAATAGACACCTTGGGCCTGCACGTCACTACAAGGTAATCCATTGTCTTGCTTGAAATGTATCCCATTATATTTCATGCTTCTGTGTGGAAGTTGCAGGGAAAGACAAGTACCGAGGACAAAATCCAACCTTTACTCACCTTCTGACCTAAAAAAAAAAAAGATTGGAGGGGAAATGTTTCTTACCTGAAACTGAAACTGGTCTCTGTTTCAGTTTTCAGCCCTTGGTCTGCGCTCTGTGCTGAGGGCAGCGCTGAGAAACTCCTGCTGCTTCTGCCTCGATTTAAGTGGTTCCCTCCCTCCACTCTGTTTTGGTTTTTTTTTTTCAGAAGAAATGTGAGAAAACTTATTTAGACCATTTGCCCAGCAAAGGGCTGCTTTAGATGTTAACAAACCCCAAACTGTTCCTGAGTTGTGCCGCCTTTACATCTTTCTAAACTGAATGTTTTTGCCTCGCACCAGTCTTGGCTCTTGGGAGGCACTTCTCTCTCCACTGCTGCTTTGGGTGGCCCACTGTTCTTGGGAATACAGGCCCCAGAAATCAGGTGAAATTTTTTAATTCTCTTTCTATCCTAGCTGTCAAAGCATTTCATACGCCTGGAAAATAGTCAGAAATGTGCAATAAGGCCCATCAAAGATATAGAAAAGCATCTGTAGGCGGCACAGCTCCATGGACTGTGATTCCTCAGCCTGAAAAGAGGTGATTGCAGGACAAAATGATAGCAGTCTCTGAAATCAGGAGTAGCATGAAGAAGTCACCCAGAGGTGATTTGCTCACTGGCTCTGGTTCTTCAAACAGAAGGTGGTGGTTCTTTGCACAGCGTGTCATTAATCTGCCGAAATCTTCGCTGCAGAACGTTGTGGATGCTGAAAGTTTACATATATTAAAAAAAACCACAAAACTGGATAAAGTCGTGAAAGAGGAAAAAAAACCACCCTAACAGCTATTGAATAACAAACCTCATTTCTGTCATGGTAAATCTCTGCAAACTGTCAGAGTCTGGGAGAGTTTTCTGGCGAGGCATCGCTGCAAGCCTTGTGCTGTTCTGACAGTCTTCCACACGCTCTGATGCTGGACGGGGTATCTTTGCCCTGACCTCCTATGGGCATTTGATGTTATGTTCCTCTGCCTCTCCTCCCCCGTGATTTCTACCCCCATCACATTTTTCTAAAACTCACAGATTTTGTGTTACAATTAAGTTCTGCACTGAATATATTTTTGCTTTGAGAAGCGTCCAAACAATTCTTTGTGAAAGCACCTTCTGGCTGCCTGTACAGCATTCTGAAAAGGATGAGCCTTTAGATAGGCTGGCAAGTCATATAAATAGTAAATAAATGGTTCTGAGAGGTGAAGTTTCCCTGGGAAGCCTGAATCTCTAGTTCTGTAACGGCTTGGTTATCAAACAGATGATTTACATCTTATTAGGTATTTCCATCTGTTGATAGAAAAATGCTCTATTGCATAATGTTGCTTTTGTTCCTGATTCGGTTCTCACCGTTGCCAGAAGCGCTTTTGGGCCCCCAGACCAGCCTTGTTTAAATAATCAGCTTGGAGGCAGTGGCACTCTGGGGTGCTCAGCCCGGTGGGCGAGCTGGGGGGGCCAGTGGCGAGGGCCTTGGCAGAGCCACTTGCCCCAGGGGCAGCTTCTGCCGGCGGCTCTGCCGCTGCCTGCACCTTCCTCGGGGCTTGGTGCCCACTGGGCTCGCCGCCACCCACTCCTGAGAAGGGATTTTTTTTTCCAAGCTTGGATGGAAATCTCAGTCGCTTCTTTTTCAGTGTGAGTGAATCGAGAAGGGATTTTTTTTTCCAAGCTTGGATGCAAATCTCAGTCGCTTCTTTTTCAGTGTGTGTGAGTGAGTTTGTTCACTTTTTGGTCCAGCGTGTCCAAAGGACACAATCTGTTTTTACGGAACGTTGCGATCCAGTTGCCCACAGATCATAGAATCATCTAGGTTGGAAGGGACCTTAAAGATCATCTAGTCCAACCATCAACCCTCACCCTTGCAGCCATCCCAGGAGGGAGACAGTGTGTGCAAAGCGCAGTGTGAGCATTCCTTGTTGCTCTCCTTTTGTGTCCATTCCACTTTCCCAGTCTGTACGTGGACTGCTCTGCTTCTGGAGGGTGAACTGAGAAACCAGCAGGGCCAAAAGGAATGCAATTTGTTTGTTGATACAAATTCGCATCTCCAAAGAAGCCTGAGAACTTTAATTACTCCAAAGTATCCCAGGATGCACTGCTTTGTAGCAGTCACTGGGAATATATTATCCTCACATGTAAAACAAAGAAACTGGAAACTGTATTCAACAGGCAAGCAAAACAGGGAATATTTTAATCAGCAAAACGAGGAGAGAGTGTTGAGATGAGTGAAGAGCGGAGGGAAATACTGGGCTCGATGCCTGACTCCTAATCCCTAAACTGTCTTACGATAGTATTGTGAAAGACAGGAGGAATAAACCCAATACCACAGCTTCTTGCCATCAAGAAACTATGTATTAATACAGTACTGCTAAGGTAATTAACCAAATCAGACTTAGTCCAGTGCTGAAAAGGATTTCTTCCCCCAGGGATAAGCAGATGTCTCAATCTAATTATACAAGTTATTTAATCAGAACCAGAGGTCGGATATCTAATGAAAATACTACCTAGTAGGGGGGAGAGAGGTTGTAACTCTGAAGCAGGGCAGGCAGAGGGAGGATACAAGCTTCCAAACTGGTGCAGGTTCTAATGCTCTTCTGCCTTAGTTCTATACATAACTTTATGTAAGATCTCAGGATATGAATTTGACAAAAACAATCACTTGTGGAAAGAACGCATTCTAGCAAAAGTTTGTTTCGCTGCCTGGGATGGAAAGAAAACTCCTATAAATGTCATCACCCACCCATAGTGCTGAGGCAGGAACAAACAGCTGTGTTTCGTCTGAGGCAGCTCGGAGTGTTACTGTTTTGTTAGCCTTGCTTCACCTAGGAAAAAAAACTGTAACAGATGCCTAAAACCTGCCAGTTCTGCGGGACTGTAGCTGGAAGCGGGTGTGCAGTTGGTAACAGCGGGAAAGCTCACGCCGGGGGCTTGCAGGGAGGGTGCTCACCGTGTCCTCAGGAACAGGCAGAGCCCCTGAACCTGGAATTCTTACAATATTCAGGCGTTTGAAGAGTGAGTGGAGACTCTCTCCCATGGGGGAGGCTGTGTTGTGTCACCAGGAGCCAGCACATGGACTTACTGAACGGTCACAGGGGGGAACATAGGGGTGCTCCAGCCCCAAGAAGACAGAGGAGCTGAATTCCTTTAATTTTATTATAATTGGAACCCAGGTGCTTCTAACAGTTGTCAGAAACTCAGCTGCATGTGAGGACCTTTCCCACGTGCTTGGAGGTAGCTGCTCCCAGGGGAGCCATGCAGTCTCAAGTAGGGGTACGGAGCTCCAGGCAGGACCAGGAGTGGTCCTCTCTGCTCTGGCCATGCTCTCTCCGGGCTTCTGCCCATCTTTCTCAGTTTAGCTTGTTCCACTGATGAGACTCTTCTCTCTTGAGTTCTTCCCAATGGTTTTTTCTGCATCTCCACCACCACGGCCGTGTTCCTGATGCCAGCTGTGGTGTGCTGCTCCTGTGCTGGCTTGCCAGCCCCCTCCGTGTCGGGGCCAGACTGGCCAGCAGTGCCACGTTGCCTAGGTGATACTTCTCTGGTTGTCCCATCTCATTAAGCTGTTGGAGCTGCAGGCACCCATGGGGGAGTCGGGAGGGAACGCCAGCCCTGGCTGCTTTAATTGGCTTCTTGCCTGTGTGGGCACATGCAGACAGTGCTGAGCCTTCCCGGGTGGCCACCGACGGGCAAGGAGTTAAAATGTACCGTGTTGCCCACCAGTCACTGCCTTGGAAGCTTTGTAACTGAGGGACACCCCCAAAATTAGCATTTTTTTTTTATCTCCAGGACTCTCCCCCCTCACGTCTACCAGTCAGTTCCAGCAGACTTGGTCCCTCTGGATGGGCACGAGGAGGCTCCTGCTCCACATCCCAGCCAAGTGAGCTTGTGGGCTCCTCTCCGACAGGTAAGAGCCTGGGTCCCTTGCTGGGGTCCCTGGGCACCGCACTCACCCAGAGACCCTCAGCCTCTCCAGGGCCTCGGGGCAATGCAGATGCCCAACAATGGCTGGGAACGTTTGCACCCCCCATGGCTGAGGGACAGGAGTCCTCCAGAGCAAAAACAGGACAACCTGTGCAGCACCAGGCTGATGTTACCCTCTCCGAGAGAGAGGGAGGAAAGAGCAACACCACACGCAGCACAGCCACATATTTCACTTTCAAGTAAGTGAAAGTCTGGAAAGATCCGAAAGGCTTTGAGTTTGCTGGCCATCTGTAAGCACCTCAGTCTGTTGTTTCATGCTGCCACTTCAAAAGTTGCCCTTCTACCCTTCTGAGGCATTAAGAGTTAAAAAATGATAGCTTATGATCAGATTGATTAAACGAGGACGTAGGGAAAATGCTGTCCAGCTGAAGATTTCCTTCCGTTTTTTAAATGTACTGTGTTTTTCTTGACTAGTTTCAATGAATCTTAACCTTAGATTTTGTTTATTTGTGTTCTCTGCTGTGTGTACATATGAAGTTACACACACATCTAGAGAAAACAGGCAACCTTCACACACGTTCTTCGTTCTGACGCGTAGAGCATCTGTTTGTAACAGCTGAACTGACGAAATATGGCATTTCTGAACATGTAGCTGTAGACGGATGGGTTGTGATGTGCTGTGAGACCGAATGAAGGAGAGGAGGAAATAAAGCACAGGGGCCACTTGAGTGTGTGCAGGTATCAATTCCAGTTTTTAGGAATCTGCTCCACAGAGACGTGTTTGCCCAACGTGGTTTCTCTTTGTTAATGTAGAAATCTATACAAAAAAATTCATGCTAAACCTGACCCTGGATATTAAACAACCCCCCTGTGAGGTGGTGTTCATCTAGGGGATTTAAACAATTCTGAATTGCCAAACCACGGTGCCCCGAAAGAGAATTTACTAGACAATAGAAAAGGGATTGACAGAGCAAGAAACAGAGATGAAATGTGATGTCTGTTTAACCTGTTTTTCTTCACTTCCATAATTTGTTATGTATTATGACTTCTTTAACCAACCTTTTATTGAGAACTCCTCTCTGGTCTTATATCCACCTTGAAACACTCTGCCAGAGGCTGGCAGGCTCTCCCTCTCCCTGGAAGGACAGATGTGTGCATGGACTGATGGACCTGCCTCTGAGCCTCTCCGTGATGTGACCACCTCTGCAGACCACAGTGGGAGTAAAGCACATCTCCTGCGCTGCTGCTGAGAGTTTTGTTGACGAGGTTCTAGGAAATGTTGACCCAAATAAGTGGGACTGGGAAGAAGAGTGTTCAGAACAGTAGTAGGAGTGAAGAGGTGACACGTCATTGCACCTCAATGACTCAAGAGAAAGACGGGATCCTGAGGGCCTGGTGACTGCAGTGGGAGTTTGTTGGCCCACGGTGCAGCCGAGCAAAATACAAGAAATACAAGCTGTGGCACAGATCAGAGCTCAGATGGGACAGTCCTGTAACCAGTCTGAGAAGTGCCAGGCCCTTGCCAATGAGCTACTTGCAACACACAAGGAACAAAGAGAAATTTGACTTTGAACTGTGCTGTCCCGTATCCAGGAGACCAGTTGCATTTTCCCGTGCTGTATGAATAATACTCTTCTTTTATCACCTTGTACCTATTCCGTACCAATACCTAACCAATCTGCCTATGAATATAAAGCAGCTGCTTATGCACTGTAGAGTAACGTGGCATCAGACCCCAGGCAAAGAACATCCATGGTATTGCACCAGATCATGGCATTTAACTTGCTGTAGTGACAAAGCAGGATCCGCTCCTGCCTTGTCAACTGTGCAGTCCCGTGTGACATGGACAACCTGCATTTGGTCCTCTGACTTCTCTGGAACACAAATAGTTGGTGAAAAGGAGGTGGAGGAACGGTGCTTTTCTAAAATTTGCCCGCTTAAAACCAGCCATGTGGAGCTGCAACTTAGTCCCTGCTGGTGAAGTTTTCTCTTCTAGAAGCAAAACCGTAAGTGTTAGGAATGATCTGAAGTCTGTCATTTCAGATGTGATGATTACACTGTGAAAATCCAATTAATTAAAGTCCGTTCAGCTTGAAAGGTGAAAGGCTCAGGGTTTTTCTTTATGAGAAGCAGCAGAATGAATGTCGAAGATACGATACAGGAGCAAGGATTTGATGGTAACTACAACGTATAGCCACTGGAAGGGTGGCCTTGTTACTGGGACCAGCAGAAATCGTTCTCTGTGGACAATGCACCTGCAAAAGGCAGGTGATGATGGGGAAGAGGGACTGTGTTCAGAGGGACAGCCCTCCTGGCAGTGGCACTGTGTGTGGCCGTGCTCCAGGCTGAGAGCAGACATGGAATTAATGCCTCCTCCCATCCGAGTCTGTGGAGAGCTTTTCACTGGCGTCAGTGGCAACAGGATCAGAGTCGAGTCTTGAGGCTCTTCCCCTGGAGCTCAGAGGAGTTTAATGGAATAAAGTCTACGTTGTAATTAATTGGCTTCTGCTTCTCCTGCAGGAAAGAGTTAATGAAGGCAAAGCTTGTCTGACCAAGGGGCTGGTACGGCTCCAGTAGAGCTATGACTCACAGATTGAGCATCCTGCCAAAGCACCAACGAGCTCCTCATCCTCAGCTCCTCCTGTCCCAACAGTAATAGTGCCAGTTGGTCCAGCATCGTGGCTGGGGAGGTTTGTCCCTCACAGCACCTGCTCTTCCCTCTCAGTTCAATGCTATTTGTTTGCACAAAAAATCAGTGTCTGCTAGATAAGTCCTTAAACAGAAAATTGTGTTATTTTGTTCCTGTGGTGCAGACCCCCCAGTAATCTTGTAAGGGGTCTTTGTAGGACTGAAGGAAGTAGAGGTTTAAATAATAATTTAAATGAGTAAGGAAAGGGCAACACACAAGGAGCAGTTACTGGGTGAGTGGTCACAGGTGAGTCTTGGAGTTGACTAAGTTTGATACTTTCATGATTGAGCTTGGCTCAAAAAGAGGAGTGGAGAAATGAAATTTGTTGGTGGCGTGAGACTTAGAAAACAGCCCACGCTTAGTGACACGTTGCCCCAGGCACGATCCTGCACCCCAATTGCTCACCACTTCCCTCTCTCTGGAGAGAATGAAGCCAGGGGAGAGTCACCAGCAGAGTTTTCCAGCCTGGAACTGCCAGGTCCCTGTTCCTCATGTGAGAAGAGCACAGCGCGTGGGGTCTCGGTGTGCTGGGCACAGGTAGGGAGGAGCAGAGATGGGCACTCTGAAGGTTGGTGCCTGATTGCTTCTCTCCAGAAGTACATGATCACTTGAGCAGTAGATTTCGTTAAAAATTGATGTTTTCCTTCCTTCTGAACTCTTGTCATCTGCCTCAGTTATCACAACAGGGCTGATGATAAGTCGCAAAAAGTGCAAAAAATGATGATAGACAGGGCAGGCAGAGATAAGGAGGACTCTTGGTCTTGATGATGAGTTGAATCACACCGCTTTGAAGCCAGGCTGGCAAACCATAAATATATGGATTAGTACCAGTAAAAGAGATCGAAACCTGAGGTGGAGAGTTTAAACAAGACATAATTTGTAGTAACAACAAAATTACAGGGATTCATCCCTTCATCTCCCAACCCTCGCACCTCAACCATGCCACAAGGTTGCCTCCCCATTCTGTACATTTTTCAAAACATCCCATTTTGGGTAACCAACCTGGGAAGCGTGGCCTGTCAGTATTCAAAGATCAGCTCTGGAACCGTGCGTCGTCAGAACAATCCATGTGGAGTGGGGAGAATAAAGGAACACACAGGTCCTACCCCAAATCTGTTGGGAAAGTTAAAAAGTGGACGGTTCTCCCTGCAGGTCCCCTTCCTCAGAAATCTGACTTTGGAGTTGCTACACTGACTGTGGTCACTACTGGCCGACCTGGGGGGACAAGCACATGAAGGCTCCTGAGTTGGAGCAGCTTCAGGTGTGGTGAGCCCCAGGATCCCGTTACGTGCTGCACGCCGGTAAAATAACGGCCGCTTCTCCTCCATGTTCGAGTTGGTATTAGATTGACAAGATCAAGTGACGGCACAACCGTAGACACCTTTATCTGCTGTATGCATAATCTTTCTTGCTGAAACCCCGCCAAACTCATCCCCAGGTCTTATCTTTCCTAAACCTAGTATTTATTCATGTGGTTGTTTTATGTAAACTGCAAAGAGCCTCATTAAATGGAAACCTTAACTCAAAAGCTTCATTATTAAGGTGGAACAGAGCTCAGAATGCACGGAGCGAAATTACCGATCTTTCGTGTTATTTTGGAAAAAAAAGCTTAGTGCCTCAGGCACCTGGTGCAGACTGCACTGAGCCCCTGTCAGGAACGGTCTGGCTTTAAGGTGAAGAGGAGAGAGTTCCCCAGGGCTGAGAAGAGCAGACCCCATCGTGGAGAGGCTCAGTCCCTGCTGAGAGAGAAGCCGAGGGGACACAGGACCCTGTCCTACCTCAGCAAACTGGGAAAATCCCATTTGGCTTCTGGGCCAGGTGGGAAGGTGGCTCGGGCATGCAGCCACACACTGGGTTTTGCTCCCGTTGTGGCTCTTGGTGCCTGCAGCATCTCCAGAGCCGGGTGACAACCCAAGAGCTTTGGGAGAGGATGAGGTTTCTGCAGACGAAACTCCACATCACTTGGGTGCTGGCATCCACTGAAGGTAAATACCAGCAGTTCTGTGCTTCCATGCTCTCATTTATATTATAAATCCTAATGAAAGAGTTTGAAAGGAAAGGCACACACACGTGGTTAAGAATGTACAGGCAGTGAAAGCATTTCTCTGAAGCTGGAAATTAATTCCGCAGTATTTTCCCTTTCTTAGTTTGGCTGAATCCAATATATACTTTACCCGGCCATCAGAGTTGCCAAACCAAACGAGTCATAGCATTTTGTTCCTAAACAATGGGCAGTTGCTGAACAGGGTTAAATTAAAGAAGGTACCAAATCAGTATCTAAAATTTGCATTTCTTCTGGAGAAGCAGCTTTTCAGGGACAGCTTGTTTTCTACGGTAAAGAACAGCTTTTTTAAATTCAAACCCTTCAGCAACATTAACATGCTTGGTGCAGATCTGTACCCTGTCATACTTCTTATCTCAAGGACAGCACCTCCGACAGCAAAATGCCACATCCATCACACGGGAATATTAGCAAGTGTCCGGTCGGCTGGAGTGTGAATAAAACGCGTGACCCACTGGCTTCGTGGCGTGTTGGCTGCTTTCTGAAGCTGCTGCATCCCTCCCAAAACATCACTACGTACGATTTGCTTCGTTATGGCACTGGGCACACGTGGTGAACTGATGGAGTAGTTGTGAAAAGAGGCTGGGGAAGTGGGGAGGGACTCGATGTGTCGGTGTCAGACACGTGCTCACGGTTGGGTGAGGGGTCTGGAGCACAAGTCTGATGAGGAGAGGCTGAGGGAGCTGGGGGTGTTCAGCCTGGAGAAGAGGAGGCTGAGGGGAGACCTTATTGCTCTCTCCAACTCCCTGAAAGGAGGGTGTAGAGAGGTGGGGGTCGGTCTCTTCTCTCAAGTCACAGGCGACAGGACGAGAGGAAATGGCCTCAAGTTGCACCAGGGGAGGTTCAGGCTGGATATTAGGAAACATTTTTTCACTGAAAGGGTTCTCAGCCATTGGAATGGGCTGCCCAGGGAGGTGGTGGAGGCCCCATCCCTGGAGGTGTTCAAAAGAGGGGTTGATGTAGTGCTGGGAGGTCTGGTTTAGTGATGATGCTCCTTGTTTGTTGTGTGGGTGTCTATTTTTGTCAGTTAGGTTGACGGTTGGACAAGATGATCTTTAAGGTCCCTTCCAACCTAGAAGATTCTGTGATTCTGTAGAGCTGTGCATGTGTTCACGTCTGTGCACGTGCACAAACACAGTTGTGGGGTCGGGGGGGAGTGTGTGAGGAAAGCTGGTGTGTCATCCCCACTTCTCCTGTGTCTGTTAATCTCCAGATTGGGGATGTGGGGATGTGTGCGTGTGTACGTTTTACTTCCCTTTGTTTTGTTTGGTACTTTTAATCCCCTGGGGCATATCTCTGAGCTGAAGAACTTTAGAGCTGATATAGCTTTTTAAAGTGGGGATTATGTAAATGCATATTATGGGGCTTTCATAAATAGGGATTATTTGTTGAATACATTTGAGTGCTTCCTTTGGAGCCATTAAGGTCTGTTGTGTAAACAGGAATTTAGTGACTGCCTAATCTAAATTTCATTGATTCAATAACAGATCACAACAGCATTTTTTTTTTTTGCATTCATTTTGGCCTTGTGAGAACATATTTCTGGACAATTTTCAAATAATTACAGGACTGTATAAGACTAAAGCTAATCATAGTGAGCATACCTTGCACATCTGTATTAACTGTTCTTCATGATTCACTCTCTATTTCTCTTCCTCTCTAGTTTTATGGTTAAATTCACTGTTGTCCCAGCCACTAACTTGTTAACTGTCACTCACTAAATTAAGAATTCTGCAAGTTCAGATAAACAAAGCAAAAATAAGGTTTTGCGAAAAGATATAGCCATGCAAAAAGGTGCAGGAGACCCAGCTCCAGGGCCAGGTTCCACCACGGCCAGAGGAGCTGTGGTTTGTCCTGGCTGGTCCCCGATGCCCCCGGGTGTTGATGCAGCTCATGGTGCAAATGCTGCAGAGGAGACAACAGCTTCCCTTCCCCAGAGTCCCCACAGTGGGCTTGGAACCGGGTGACCCCTGCAGAAGTGAGCCTAATCCTCTTCAAAGACAGACTGCAACAAAAAAAGGACTTTCTCTCATGATTGAAGATGGTCAGGGCAACTAGGACCGTGTTCCTTCCAGGGCACAGTAGCAGGGTGAGAACCTCTCCCCTAACTCTGATGTTTGGCACTTGCTGTATCTTCTGGACTCAAAGCTCACGGAATCCAGCGCAGCTTCTCAAATTGATTTTTGTCTTGTGTGTGGGAGTCTCGTTGACCTGGAGGTACGAGCAGCAATGTCTTTGTTGTTTTGCCTTGGAGGAGAAAGCAGCCCTAACCCCAGGCCGGGGAGGGGGGGTTAAAACCCCTGCAACACTCTTGAATTCACTGGGTCGGATGGGATTTGTCCAGTA